CAGCTCCGACAGAACACAGACCAACTTTTACCTGCTGTCTTAACAGTGCATTTTAGAAAATACTACAAATGGCGCAGTAAACGCCATCTGTAGCACGATGCTACATTTTAGGATTACGTATGCTTCAACAATGTCCACTTGTGTGGATATCTACTTGCTGAAAATGAATCCCGGCGTAGCCAACCTCAACGTCATAAGCATTAGCTTAATCGAATAAAATAATTCGAAGTGGTCTGTATTTTGTCGAAACTGCCAGACCGCGGATCAGTAAATTTATTATGCAATAATATTATTAGTTTTCTTTTAAGAATTTTAAGGTATAAAATAGTTCATTTTATAATTTTTATTTACTTGTTGATTTTACTGTTCAAGGTTCGGTTGTTACTTTAAAGGAATCGACACTGAAAGTATTATCATATTTAATTGAAGCTTTTGTCCCTAACAGAACATTCGTTTTAAAATGTTTGCATTGTTACTACAAGTATGTAGATGGTATGGTACTTGAGCCTTCATGGGAATGTATTGTAGAAGGTGTATGACGCATTTTAGTACCTATCTATTTTGCGAAATCAGACTATATGTACGTAACTGAAGATGATGAGACCCTGCGCTACGCTTGATGTGGCAAAACTGGGTCTAAAAACTTTTGAAATATTATCCTACCGCATCTATCCGTGAACGTATCCTTCGCGGATCCGCGGCTTTCATTTACCTCAGCAGCCGCGTCGTCTTCTGCTTTAGAGGAGATAATAAATAAATCTACAATCGCGAACTATGCAATCCAACATGTAATACACATTCGGTGTGTTATGTGTATGTATATACATATGCACCATATTTTATACGAACAAGTTGCATCCCCAGCACGTAACAATCTCATTTATTAAACTGGAGTAAGTCTTAAACTTTAGATTTAAAATTCAAGGCTTTATTATTTCGTAAGATTGTGTAAAAGTACAGTCAAACTTTCCTAATTGGAACCTCGTAAATGCAATATTTCAGTTAGAGAAAATTCGGTTTAAGAAAAATTTCTGATTTACCGTCAAACTTTTTAATTTTTGCTTCGAGGACATGGCTTTTATGTACATATTATTAAGTTTACCTACTACTAAACCTTGCAATTTCAGTTCACGATGTCAGACAATAAAAGTACTTCGTTCGTGTTGTCTTTTCCTACCGTAATCATGTGTTCCTAATCGTTTTCTTTTTGCGGATTTTCATGTGATACTGGGTGGCTCATTGTCAGTAAATATTTATGATGGTAATAGTTCCACTTCAAAACTGGAACCATTAGTTATCGATGTGGCTGATTTTTTGTATTAAAATTAATAGAAATTCGAACTAAAGAGACAACATATAATGAAAAAGTCGTACTCGAATTTCAAGTTAAGGAAAAATTCAGTTAGAGATTCAGAGAAGTTAGAGTTAAAAAAAAGATTTCCCCCATATCAGTCGTTTCTAAATAAATGAGATTCTTTTCGTTTTTGTTTTATTTGAAAAAAACTTAAAACTTATTAAATAAATTGTAGCCACAAAGTAATTAGTTAGAATCTGCGCTTCGGACAAACGATAGTTTCGGGTGTTCTTAAAAAAATACGAAGCCCGATTTTTGTTAGATGACAAACAAACAGAAATATTTTGATTTTTTTCAGAGAACTGCTTGATTCAGAAAAATTAAGATGGGCAACCAATGTTGCTCGAACTAGGGTCATTTATTAGCTGCTA